GAGAGAGAGAGAGAGACTGAGCCAAAAGCTTGAATGACAATCAAACCTGTATAAATAGTAAAATGATTAAGACACCACCAAGCTAAGAAACTTCCTAAGAGTAATTAGAAAATTGGTTACCACTACACAACATAAGAACAAACTCCATAGATCACATACTAAACTCTCTATTCGAAAAGAAAATGTTCGGAGAAGTGATAGAACTCCAGCTTATGGTCAGCGCTTTTCCTAAATAAATAAGTATGATGGGCCAACGGTAAGAAAGCCAATATAGCTAAAAAAGGGTACTTTCTAAAGATGGGAGCTCTTAAACTAATGTTGTAATGCATTTCTTCGACCATAGCAAAAGCATTCTTCATAACCAATAAACTATCATGACATTTATTTCTTCATTGCAACTGACAGCAAAGCTTGCATATATGCTGAATACACAAAGATGCTCCTAGAAGAGTAGAGTACAATTCAGGGTTCACGTAGATTTTGAAAACCCGAAACGAATCTTTTCAGACAAGAACATTTATACCTGGGAAAACTGGGATCAGGACCACAGTCCGGTTTTCGCTTGACTAATCTACGTGAGAACAGGTAAAACTGAGTTTGTAGTTCAGTTGATGAGTTCGCAATGCAAAGCCAGATTTCTCAATATGTCTCTATACAACACTAAGGTTCGGAACATAACCTTCCCTCTTCATATCATCATTTAGCAATCTAAACACTTGGTAAGCCTCAGTTGAACTGTCGTGTACAAGATCACCGGCATGAAATTCATGAAGTTGATTTTCGAACTCGATCCAACTACAACCAGGAGTCTTACTGACTCCCCTTTGTCTCATCAACACTCTCATCCTTGCCGAGTCATCCCACATTTTTAACTTTTTGTATACCTTTGACGATATAACATAATTTCCAGAGTTTGAAGGCTCCAACTCCAGAAGAAGTTGTGTTACCCGCTTGGTGACATCTTCATTTCTGCATTTCTGACACGCAGCGAGTAATGCCCCAAGTGAAACTTCATCTGGCTTTTCAGGCATTCTCTCAATGAAGTTCCAAGCTTCATGTACATGTCCTGCTCGTGCCAGAAGATCAACCATGCAAGAATAGTGCTCTATTTTTGGAGCAAGGCCAAATGATGAGCTCACCGAATTAAACAACCGGCGACCTTCATCAACCAAACCAGCATGAACGCAAGCAGAAAGTACCCCAACAAAAGTAATGTCATTTGGGCGTGCAAGAGCCCCACCCTCCTCAATCATGCGGTTAAATAGGGATATCGCTTCAATGGCTCTGCCATGAAACGCAAGCGCAGATATCATGGCATTCCAAGAGACCTCATTCTTCTGGGGCATTTCCTCAAAAACCCTCAGCGCATCATCTAAGCTCCCGCACTTAGCATACATATCAAGTAATGCAGTTGCCACATACACGTCATGTTGTAAACCACTTTCTAATGCAAAGTTATCAACCCATTTCCCCATATCTAAAGCCCCAACTTGAGCACAAGCAGATAAGACTCCAACCAATGTTATTTTATTCGGATTAATGCCCGCCTCTTTCATGTCACCAAATAGCCTGATTGCTTCATCTGACAATCCATTTTGAGCATACCTGTCATGAATGTAAAGAA